GGGGTTGTTATGTAACCAGAGACCCCCACTTGTTTATGCTGTGACACAGGCGTCATGGCTCTGCTCAATAATTTTTAACTGCTGCCCTGGCATTCAGTCAGCCCAGTAAATTAAAAGGTGGTAAGATTTCTTTCTCCTGGCTACAGCAAGTTTCTGTCCATGGAAATTGATTCTGGAATAAGAAGGGAAAACAATCCAGGGTTTGTGGGGGGGGGGAGGAGAATAAGAGGATGTCAGTTCTTTGACCCATAGAGACAAACAGAAGAAAACAATGGAGAGGATGAATTACCATAATTACTATATTTACAGGGATATTGTGGTGGCACTGCCAACTTCTCCCTCATAGAAATGCAGGATCATTATCCACCATGTTTAGGGGATTCTGAATGCCCTCTCAACACTTAATTTTCCCAGGAGGCTAAAGTCCAATCCCACAAGCTTCACAGATGTGAAAGAAAGTTGTTGCAATCCTTGTGACGAATAAGCACCGATGAAATCAGCAAGACATAATTCTATGGTAAGCTTAATGAATAAGAACATCCATAATTTCACCCCGTGAAATCAATTCTACCTATTTCTCCTGAGGTTACCATGTTTACAGTCAGTAGAAAATGCCCATTTCCCTCAGATTTCTGCTAAATTATGAAAGTCATGCCAGAAAGGGTAGTCAGCCTGTTGAGCCCCATTGGCTATACACATAGCTAGTGAGATTAGGAATCAAAGCCACAAAAGCATCAACGCATCTCACTAGTCATTGGCTTGCATAGTGCATCCTTCCTGCTTTTGCAACAATCTAATTAAAGAAAGCTCAGATAGTTCTGAAGTAATTTTTTTTGCTTTTCTGAACCTGTCAGCAAAACCCCAGCACTGAATAGCCCAAGGGTACTTTTATATTTGGTAGACTGACTTTAAAAGGAAATATTATCTTCAGGGACGATATTACAGTGCAACCCATATATTCCATTCTTCACACAGAAAACAAACGTGGTAAATAAAAACGGCGGGAAAGACACTTTTGCTAATTGCAGTAAAGATAAAAATAGCACCACTGGTTCGGTTGGTTAATATGTTCTTCTTGTTTCAATGATTTATTTTAAAGAACTTCGAGATTCTGGACAGTTGAAAGAGAAAAAAAAGATACCACATTGGATCGTAAGCTCTTTCTTATTCATAGCTTTCTAGTCAGAGTTGTCCAGCCAAAAAGCCCCATGCTTCTCTCCAGCTTTAAGGTAAGAATATGACTAAGAGAATTCTTCCTGATTTAATTTCAAGGATGCCTATCAGGAATACTTCCAAATACATTAAATGTGCAGAACTTAAATTCTCAATGCTGATCTTTTTTAAATTACAGCATTAACCTTTTCTTATTCTATCTTTGTTTAACAGTAGCTTCAAGAATATGGCGCGACAGGTTTGCAGGAAAAGTCTAGATATAATTCTCACAAGTGAAAGAGGGAAAAAAACAGACCCAGAAGTAGGAAAACGAGATTACTTTTTATTTTGGCATATATGAAAGCAATTCATATACAATGTATAGGCAGTGATTTGAAAACTTGTCACTTTGGTTGCAGAAACATGTTTTTTTTAAAAAATACAAAAATAAGTTTTTCTTTAAAAGAGCACAAAATATTTCAAAAGTACTTTCAAAGGTTTCAAGTTAAATACAGGAAAGAGAGCTATTTCTCAAGCACAGCAGCAGATCCAGGAGCTACCAATCTAATTACTGGAGCTACTGAGTGCCTGGATTGTTAGGTTACTAAAGAGTATATTCACACATATCAAGAAAACTGTCCTTTATTTCCAAAGACCACTGGAAAGTCAAAGACACGATAGGTCCCACCCAAGGGGCCATTTACAGTAAGCAGAACTAGATTCTGAAAAATGATGGGTTCTTCCTCTCTACTTTCTATCCTGTGCCTGTCCAGGCATCCTTACAAGCAGAAGAGCAAAATATTTCCTATTCTACATTAAAAGCACTTCCAGTTTATGTTAAATGATAAACTGTTTCAAAACAATTTTTAAAACACTATAAAAAATAATAAGCACAATAATAAACAGAAGGCTTTCACTCAAAATAATGCTATTCACTGAAGGGAGCAGGTAGTTATCAGGACTCCAGGAAACACTGAATACGTATTTAACCCTTTCCTCCCCACAACAAACTTCAGGACAAGATAGAAAGAACATAGGCAATCAGAACAGGATAAAGGTAGGTTAATCCATGGCAGCGTACAGTACTTATGTTGTCTAGTGAAATCTTAAGTATTACTTCAAATCAGTATCAGATAAACAGGTAGTATTATGAACATTTGAAATCATAAGCTAAAGCTATTACAACTTAGAAATATAATTTTATGTAACCAGAAGTATCTTGGAGAATGAAAAATCGCTGAGATTATTTCCAAGTCCTGCTCTCAATTTTCTGCAAGAATGATCAAATTCCACTGTAGAAAGTATAGTTAACCAGCAAGCGTATAATAAAAGTTTTATAACAAAAACTAGTGGCTTAGTGACTGCTTGAATATCTCTACATATAAAGCAACATTATTAGCACTGGCCTACCGTTCTAACTTGGCCTTCATAGTCTGCACAGCCTCTATTTTTAGAGTTAGGGCTCCCTTTCAAGCCTACTGCTATGGGCAACCATACATCAATTCAAATTAAAAAATAATTCAACGTTTAGCTTTTAAAAAATGTTTTATATCTTTTTCTTTATAAAAATAATTACACGAAATTTCAAACTCACATTTTCTACAAACACTTACATAAAATCATTAAAGTGCTCCCCATCAATTTGTTTTTGGCACATGGGGAGAAAACCCCCAGAACAATGGCCAAATCCTACTCCAAAGAGTAATATTAGCAAACTCTGCACACAGCGTAAGAAATTTGGCATGGCCAGGCATTATTTACTTAAAGATTATAGCTTAGGATATCTCATGTTTTTTAAAAAAAACAGAAATAAAGCAAATAGCATATGCCATAGCTCATCAGTCAAATTTTCACTGTCATTCATGAAGGAAGATACTGTAGATCATAAACATCTAGAGGCAACCGTAGGAGTATTTCATGAATGCTGAACAGGAACAGGAAAAAAAATCATTGCCAAAAGAACAACAGAGTTAATTCTCAGAAACTATCCCTGGAAATAGGTAAAGGTCTTGGCAGAGAGTGCTACAATACTCTGACATCTCCTTACAACGATGAAACTCTGTGCCAGGGGCATGGCCTTCACGGTGTTTGATCAATCTGTTCACCTGTAAGGCAGAAAATAACAAAAGATTATCTAAAAATGTAGATAGCTACAAAAAAAAGAGAGAAAAAAAAAGTACTTTGTTTCACACCCATAACATTGTGTCTCAGAAGTTATGCTGGCCCATTTTGGGTGGGCTGCAGTTTGGCCAAACTGATTGGTTTTGGCTAAGAAAAAATCCAGTGGGGTCTCAGTGGCTGAATACAGTTAAGGATGGTGCGCCTTCTCCCTCCTCCTCTGCACGGTCTGTGCTTTGACAGACTTATCTCTCCAGCACCCTCTTTTGCTCTGTCTCTTATCTTGCTCCTGAAGTCAAGGACATCAGCAACAATTATGGCTAGCTCAGGGGAGGGAGCCACTCAACCAACATACTCACCCTACCTTCCCAGGACTTTCCTTTCCATACTTCCCTTAGTTACCATGATTGGCATCCTTGACAATATAAGAGCAATATAAGAAGAGATAAGGGAAGAAAAGCCCCGAGAAGACAGAGGGCAGAAAGGCAGATCACTTGGATATGCTACCTTTAAAGCTATGGACATTGGCAGTGTTCATCCAACCAGCATTTCCCACTCCATACTCTCTTCTCAATGCCTTCCTTCCTTCCCTACCGACCATCCCCCTCCTCATACTGCTATCTGGAACTCAAGTGTTTTGATTCAAGCATAGACTATCAGAGACTAGCTGGGGTTTTTTTTTCTGCATATCCCTAATACAGAGAAGCTACTTTAAATTTAGACAAAACATAAAAAGAAACAAAAGCACAGTATCCCTGCCCACCTTGACCAGCATGTCAGCCACATGCACGTTTCTGGCATCCTCAGCAAACACAGAAGTGAGAGCTTCTATATACCATGATCCACGTTTGGTATTTCTCATAGCAGCTGTACCTATAAAAAAAACCCCAAAGCCAATTAAAGGAGAAAGAAATAGAAATGCCTTAGCTGCATGACAGGATAAATAGTGTAATAATATGACAGCCCTTGTATTATTCAAAATACCTTTCAGGCAGGCATATCCACAGATCATATCAGAGCAGGTAGGGAGGCGTAACTTAGGATTTTCCTTCTTGTTGGCATCGCTCTCTTCACAACCAGGAGAATTGGCCCGGTCATTCCCATCTATCTGATCCACTCCACGGTCCGTCTCATCTAACAACAGGAAAAAGGCAGATCAATTCCACGTAGCTGTTATATATCTTTGCTAAATGACAGGCATACTCATTTCATCTTCAATTTACCCTTAGATACAGACATTGATATATGTGTATTCACCAGGAGTCCTGGTGTCTCAGTGGTTAGAATGCAGTATTGAAAACAAACTCTGTCCGCAGCCTGCAGTTTGATCCTGAAGGGGATCAAGATTGACTCATCCTTCCATCCTTCAGAGATCGATAAACTGAGGAGCCAGATTGTTGGGGGCAATATGCTGTCATTGTAAACTGCCCAGAGAGTGCTGTAAAGCACTGTGAAGCGGTATATAAGTCTAAGTGTAAGTGCTATTGCTATTGCGATGTGATACAAACCAATTTTTCTTAGAACAATTCTCTTATTAATACCTTATACAGCATTCACAAGCGCAGATACATGATGAAGGTAAAATTAAAAGTATATGCAACACCCATGTCAAAAGTTAAGGAAGAGACATAATTGGTAAATTGCAGACCTTTAGTTTACTTGGGATATTTTCTGTCAAGCTTTTAGTAGAAGTTAGGAGATCAGCTAGAAAAGGAAAGCCATCTACTGGAGAGACAGGCTGGCTTTAGGGAGTGATCAATCCATGACTGAACAGTGCTTGCGACATCTAATCAAGAGGTACTCTACACACTTCAGGGTTTGCTGTATGAATTTTCTCATGACTTAAGTCCTGCTTTGACTCCATGACAAATTAAACTCTGGGAAAAACCAAAAGCCTCTCCAGTTAATTAATACTTGTTGTTTCTTAGTCATGCTCTTCACAATAGCAGATTCCTGAAAGTCAGATGCAACCCTTAAAGCCATTTATCAAGTGCTGTTCTAACTCACAAGGATGTTAAACAAGGGTGCGTACTTGTCCCATTCCTCCTGCATAGGTCTTTTTCTGCTCTACATAGATAGAAGAATCCTTTCTAGAACCCCGATGGGACTTAGCTGTGTCTTAGTAACCCTAGCTCAATATAATAACTGAAAATAAACTATTAAAAACCCTCAAACCAAACATTTTGCCAGGAAACATAGTATATAAACAGGACTATAATTGAGCCGGTCTCTTATTCTAAATATCTGGGGATAGTCTCCCAAACTCAGGCATCCAGAATGCTCCTGGAAACTATTTTGCCCAAAACAAGCAAAAAAAAATGTTTTGTGTGTGAAATGTATATTTTTAAGCAAAAAAGGGTATTGTAGGTCCAATTAGCTAAAGTTGGTACAATTTATAGAGAACAACAGAAGAGTATATTTGTAACTCAGAGTTGAACTGTGAGGTCCTTGGTGCTCTCTGAGCTTGGTGGATTTCTTGCAGACATTTCATTACCAAACTAGGTAACATCATCAGTGCTAGAAGAGTAGGGGTTTGCTCTCACTAGTGGCTTGCCCGGTCAGTGCTGGGGGAATGATCCTGGTGGTTCCCTGATTAGGCTGTTGTTTATTGCTAGCTTGTTTGTCGGTGTTGGTACCCCAGTCAGTACACCAATCAAGGAACTATCAGTACAGAAAAACAAGTTAACAGTAAACAACTGCCTGATCAAGGAACTACCAAGACCCCTCTCACCAACACTGACAGGGCAAGCCACTGGTATATGAAATGAAAGCAAACTCCACTCTCCTTTGTAGCATTGATGATGTTATCTAATTTGGTAATGAACCAAGTTCAGAGAGCACCAAGGACCTCACATTTGTGGTGATCAGCTGAGCTCATTTTCCAACACTGCCCTTGTGGACCTTATCCAGTTTAATGCTGGGAGATGAACCCTAATCTAAAGCAACTTTACTGAAGAAGCCAACACTACTCAGGCTCTTCCTTTGCCACTTACTTTTCCTAGGTCAGTGGTCCCCAACCTTTATGGCTTGGCAGCCCAGCGGGGGAGGGGGAGAGAGCAACTGTCCTGCGCAAGCGGCGGGCTAGTGCACCTGTACACCTGCTGGCCTGCCACTCATGCAATTCGAGTTGCGCGCATGCACTGGCCAGCCACTCGCGCAGCCCGATTCCAAACAGGCCATGGCCCAGTAGTGGCTCGCAGCCTGGGGGTTGGGGACCCCTGCCTTAGGCTATGAGCAAGTCAAAACCACTGATAGGCTGTATACAATGGACACTGGGTGCCAATCTGATTTAAATACATCACTTTTTAAAAAAAAAATCATGAAAGCCTAAAGGGCACAGTAAAACCCAGTACTTAACTAGAAGTTTTTTTCTCATAGAAGAGCTTTTATTTTGGCTAAGTATAATACTTTTTCTTCAACTGAGCTCGGAAGATATCTTTCCCAGAACAACTGTGACCTTGTGATGACGGACAAGTTGAAATTATCAGGCATAACCTTCTCTACTGCTCACTCAATGGTGTTGGCAGTATTGATATTCTTTCTTTATTCTCTAAATTGCCAGGCCATACAGATCAATTTTATATTTCTTGATTACATTCTGAGAATGTCTCCTCCGTATCCTATGATGTTACATTCTGCACCAGCAGTAAGATTTGGCAATAACCGATTAATAGTACTGCTATATCTGTATTTTTACTCCAACTTTTTGTATTTAGTTTTGCAGTCTGTAATGTAAACTTTTTCAGTATCATCTTACTATACAAAAACTACAATTATCTTAATGCTTAATTCAGCATTATTTTCTGATGTGAACGTGAAATCTTACTGACTGGAATTCACAGTCATTTTATAGTTGTTATGCTATTATTTCTCAAACCTCTAGCCCAGTGGTGGCGAACTTATGGCACGGGTGCCAGAGGTGGCACTCGGAGCTCTCTCTGTGGGCACACGTGCAGTTTCCCCAGCCTTACCTCCCCCCGCGACCCCCTCCTCTCCAGCAGCCCCCCTGAAGGAGAGTTGCCCCCGAGCATGGCCCACACGGAGCAGTGCAGCCAAGGACATGGCAGCCAGGCAGCGTAGACAAGACTCTGCCCTCACACTTCATCATGCAGTTGATGCTGCAGGGCGTGAGCAGAGGGTGTGGTCCCCATAGCGCTGCTGGGCTGCCTGGGCGATCTGCAGCGGGCCCTGGAGGCGGTGAGTGGTCCTGTGGGCACTTCTCTAGCCATTGTTTGTTCAGTTTACACACACCAGTTAGCTACTAATTTTGCAGCTGGTTCTGTAATTTTTAAAGCTTTCACTTGATGCTAGACTTAAACATTCGATTGTATTGTCAGAAAGAGTCATCATAGATCAGGTTGTAATAACGGAGAATTCTGAAGGCACCATATAGATTCCTAATATTGCATGGACTACATGTAGAGCCTATAGACTACCTTAAAATCACCAATAAATTTCTGCCAACCTCCCTCCACACTTATTGTATCCAATTTCCAACAGTTAAGGAAAGGTCACCAATGTCTCTAATACAATCTTTGTGGTTGCTATTTCCAAGATAGCCTTAGGAATCTTCAGCTGTGGGAAACCCTCTATATGTATTTTTTTTTAAAAAAAGAATATATGAAGGGAAAATTTTCCAATCAATACGGCACTGGATAAAGAATGAAGCCCTACATGCAGGCTTTTTACAAACAAGCTAAGAATACAACTGGAATTGAAAATAAGTTTTCAATATTGCTCAGATTTAGTTTTGCACCATGCAAGCTGAGAATTGTTTTGAGTTTGTATGCAAATACTTAAAACAATCCAGAGCACTTCAATCACCTGATTTTCAAGAGTAGATGTAACTAGATATCTATATGCATCATCATAAATGCCATTATCTCCCTTAATACTCATCTAACAACCTGTAGTTTAAGCATTCCTTTTAAATATTGCTTTAGTAGTTTTTAATAATTAATTTATGGTATGCTTTAAAGATACCATAGGCATTCCTGGAAAATGAAATGATAGGCTTTCGAGGGCTCCAAAAATGGAGGCAGGATTTAAAAAAAACCTTTCTTTTTCTATTTATGGAAAATATATCAACGAGAGAAAAATGAAGGTCGGGAATAGCTGATTTATAACCACAGCTTTCACCAGGTTTCAAATATTAAATCTTTCTCATATTCTGTGCTCCACACAAGTGGTTTCTTAACTAAGTAACCATATTTTAAAGATCTTTGATGGAGAGAGAAAGAAGCTTATATTCTGTATATCTTTATATTTCCTTTCTTTTAATTATTCTTTCTGCAAATCCAATTTCAGCTAATCCTGTTCCTGTTCCTTTTCTATTCAGTCCAGAAAATTGTTAGTTTTACTAATAGTATAAGCTTTTCCTCCCACCCCCGCCCACCCCAAAATGGTTATTAGACTATTAGGTTATTTTCAAAGCTAATTTTATCATTATTTATTTCCATTTTATCTTGTCTTTTTTCTCGCTCATTGTTCTTATTACATGCTAGGTATTAATAAAGTTATACATGCAGCTAGACTCACAATGCCAAGTGCTTTGAAACTGCTTTATGCACACTATTGTTATTAAAGTGCATACTTACCCTCTGCTATTTATATTTAACATAACCTGTTTGAAACCAGTTCATAATAATGGTGAAATCATAAGATGCCTCTAGAGCAGGCATGTCAAACTCGCAACATCACATGACATTGCGCAACATATCGGGCCGGTTTTGCCATTGCCGGCAATGGGGTGGGCGCGGCTTCCATATGACACGTCCGGCCCGTGGGCCAGCAGTTTGACACCCCTGCTCTAGAGAAAGCAAGGAGCTGTTGCTGACCCTTGCTATTCCTAACTAAATTAACATTCCTTCTTTTCCCTTCCGTGTTAAAATGAAATAAATCCAAGCATTCAGTATTTACTGCCAGAAAGACTGTAGAATAGACATAACCACTCCATTCCAGCTGCAAGGTTACTAAACAGCAGGAGACAGTCCACACCTACTGGGAAGGAAACAGCAGCTAGTGGACAGATGAACGCCTCGCAGTGGGAGATGCAATACTGAAGCTGCAGCAGTACGCTATGGAAGATTGGGTCAAAGTAGAACAAACAAGAAGCCTCCATGCATTTAGACAATGTAGCAATATGGTAATCAAAATAAGCATCAAATATCAGGTTTGCGTAATGAAGCTCTTACAGGTCGTTCTTTATTTTATAGCTTTAGCAACACAAAGCTAAACAGACCAGCTAGCACAGCTTTTAAGTCAAGCATTTAATTTCTTGGAGATGAATTCACGTGTGAAACTAGAATCTACAAGCTAGGTTGTAAAAAAAATATTGATTTTTTTCCCCTTTGGTACATCAGCAAATAAACTGTTAGCCATGCATTAAAACTCCTTAGTAATAAATAAAGATGTATATAGGTAAGAAAGAAGCTCCAATTATGAAAGCTGGTGCTAGCTTACCAAAAATTTGTCTCTCTGATCAATCCGCTGAAGATAAAGTAGAAAAACTCAGCAGAAAGATACCAGTACCAAACACATTTGGGGAAGACTTATAGTCCCCTGTCAGGCAAAGGAAAGGATTTTTCTACTTCCTGAGGTTCCCAAGCAGCTCTCTACATTCATTGGTATTTTTCCTTTCATAGTTCTAGAAGTTTTACAGCTCCACAATTCCACAATGAGTGTCAGAAAGAAAGGGACACAGGTCCCGAATGTGCTTCTTCTAAGGCCTTCCATTTCAACCTTAGCCCTAACCCTAACTTTAACCCTAACTGAAGAAACTTTATGCTATAGCATGAAGCATTGGCAGATTCTAGCTTAGCACAAGATGTTAACCTAATTACTGAGGTTTCTTGAGTCATGGTTTATGGTCTAACACACCATGCGAGTCTACTTTCCTGTCTTTTGTTACAAGTTCAAGCCATTAAGTAGATTAGGGTTTGGTTTGAGCTATCTTCCTGTACATTCATTTCCAACTAAGTCAAAAGATTAACCCTGAATTTATTTACTCAAGTTGTCCTAGCTAAATTTCTTGAACCAGTTTATTATTCACTGAAAAACATAGCACAGATGGATGTAAAAAGGGATACCAGATTAAAACAGTTCTTAGTCAATTTTAAATTGGACAAATGCAAATTAAAAAACTAAATTAAATTAAAATTAGGCCAAAGAAACAAATGAAGGTTCTACTTGCCTACGTGCTATAAGTAAGTGCAGGATTCTCTTTAATAACATATTTTATCCACAAAGCATAGTATACTGATTGGAATTATCAGAAGACTGAACTGTTTCATATGGCTTTTAATTCACAGCTTGCTGCTGTTAACAAACACTACAGAGAATTTAGTATTCACTGTCATTTTATGTATTGGCTTTATTATTTTTAATAGAAATACTGCAACCTCTAGGAGTTGCATGGTAATGCAGTGGTCCAGAAATACAGTAAAATAACATAATAAATAATACCATTTACTTAACCACAAAGTAGTGCAGAGCACAGTTCGTGGTTGTTCTGTGCAAGGCACATACTGGATTCCTGCTTTTCCTGATGAACTATGCCTAGTTTTAGAGGCAAACTCCATTCAGTTATGATCTGTAGCACTTGAATTTCAACAAAGAAGAAAATATAATAATTATGTTACAGATTAGTTCAAATGTTTATGCAAGAGATAGATACTACGAAACTATGTGTGCATGTGTGCATTTGTGTGCATTAAATACACTTAACAGGTTAATTTTATCAAGAAGTGCTACTGTAATACCAAAAATGTCTTTTACACATACCTCAAAAGCATATATTACCTTAAATAAGGTGTCTGCAGCCCTGGCACAGTAATAGAGCACTAGCTCTATTCTGGTTTTGCACATCAATGAGCAGCAGCGGTATTCTCCTAAGATCTGAAACTTGGCTAAAAAAATAAATTTAAATTTAAGGACCATTTAAGTGCCCCTATTAAAAATGTGCAGTCAGCTTTCCAACCTTTATTCCCTATAAAACGCTTTTCAAGCCTAAAATGTATTTCCTATAAAAGGCGAAGATTTAAGGCAAGCCTCTGGGGAACCATATAAACAAATTTTCTAGGCGCTTGTTTCTAACGTACTTCAGAGTTCATCTGTACCACAGACATACTGTCTGAAGGTTCATCAGAAGAAAATATTCTTTAAGGAAAAGGGGAGGATCTGAGGCCCTTAAGATGTTGCTGAACCCAAATCCTTAGAAACTCTTTGACTAATAATGGAAGCTGTAATGTTGCTGTAGGTATAAAGGAAAAAAAAATAAAGCTCTAGATATGTACTTATATAAGATGGAGTCAATGCTTTATGCTACTTGGCTTCATGGAGAAATTGAATAAAGCTGCCTAGATGAAGTTAACTTCCTGCCTAGATGATCTAGATATATCCAGATCCTTTCACCTGCCAAAACTGGCGTTCTGGGAAAAAGTGATTATCTCCTTTTATGAGATGAGTGTGGATGCCCAGAAAGACTACTTCACAGCAATGGCCCTATTTTATGGAACTCTTTCTGGAAATTAGTATACCTGCTTTTATCTTTCCCTAAGTTGGATAAATTAAAGTCTTTTATAAGACAGCATTTAGAGAATAATTTGGAATTATGATGCCTGTTGTTTTTTTATTGGTCCTTATTATTGATGTTGATTTTTTAATCTTCACTTTGGATACTTTTACTTGAAAACCACTGGGAATCCTTTAAGATTATGGCGGTATGCTTGTGTTTAGGGACTGATATATTTCTTACAAATTTTAATCAGTTGAAATATCTGCTGAATCATCCCCACTCCTTACATCAGTTATAATCCTTTGATTATGATATAATCTGGCTAAGGTCAGTCTTACATTCTATATTCTTTTTTTCTTACATTCCTATAATTTATTTAGATTCAAGGAACTTTGATTAGAAGAGACATGTTTTAGGATGTCTCTGGATCTTAATGGTATTTAAAATTCAGCTGCTCTCCTATGCATCTGACTCAAACGTAAACTCAAAATAGCAAAGTTTTTCAAGCTATTCATAATGTTTCACACAATATGATCTCAGGCTACTATTTATTCAATCTGATAAAGTTCAGCACAGGTAGGAAACACCAGAGTCGAGGCCAAAGAGAGAAAGAACAAAGGTTCCAGCACACAATCTCATTGGAATGTGGTTAGTAAGTGCCCCCATGCACATGCAAGAAGAGGAGATTACAAATCTCCTTTCTTCTTTTTCCATGTTACTGCAAGGTCTGCAAGTTGCTGACCAAAGCCATGCACAGCGAGAACCACTTACAGAGAGAGGAAGTGGCAACAGCAAGGCAGGGAGGTGAAATGGGTTCCGCTTATACCTGAGAGAAGTAAAGAGGAGAGGTGAGCACAAGCGTGCAAAAAGGAAAATGTCTGTCGTGAATCACAGGTCACCCTCCCCAGTCACTCACCTCCCCGACATGCCTGGATGAAGAACATTTTAGGCTTATTCTGAAGATTAGGACAATTCGCATTATCAAAAAGCGTGAAAATTTCCTGCAGCTGGAAAAGGAACAAGAAGACAAGGTAACAATGTTTTAAAAGGAAATTGTTAAACCGGTTATCATTTTACATTTTTTATTACTTTACTATTTTACTGTACAGTGATTAAAAGAATATAAAGGCTGCCTTTTTTTTTATTAGAATGCAAACATGGTATCAACTCTGCCCAGTTTTTCCCCCTCTATTTGTCCCCCCTTCACCAGAATTATCTTCTACTCTACTTTAAGGCAGAATCTCATAATATGTTAAAGCTGTTTAAGGCTTGGTTGTTTCCATGATGGCCAGTTTGATCCTCAGATTCCCTGCATGATCACATTCCAAAACAAAGAAGGAATCTGCATATGATTGAGTTACCTGAAGTAGCTTCCCATCCACTCCGTAGACTCCACCCTCTATGCCATGTGAAAGAAGTGATACTATGCAGGAATCTAAGTCTCTGTGAACTGGAAGCTTTGAAAAAAATTCCAACTGTTCTTTCATTTCCTGAGGCCAAAAAATAATAATAATCCCTAATCAGCAATCTCTTGAAGCATACATGCAAACAAAGTTGGAAATTAGAGGCTAAAACCTCCAAATAGCATAACTAGGAGATGAAGGATTCAGGAATGATCAAAATTGAAAACGTATGAGCATAGTTTCTAAAAGTGCACATGATTTATATCATTTTCAAACAAAAGACTCCAAGGAAATTTCAGTTTTTAAAATTTAAGTCTGGAAATCTTTGTTAATATGACTCAAATATATATTTATACGGAAATAAAGAAATAAAGTTTTGATAATGAAAAAATCAAGGAATGGAAGTTAAAAACAATCTTATAATTAAAATTTTAAAATATAAAAAGGAATACAAAGAGGAAATGTTCGCTCTAATATAATCTAGATGCTATCTTAAAAACAGCCAGTTCTGGAAAATAAATTTCGTGTAGCTTATGCAAACATTTGTCACAACTATCACATTTTTCAACTTACCTGTGCAGTCTGATCATGTTGTACAACCACCTGGTATCCAAGATGCTTGAAGAGCTTATCTAGAGCAGCATGGTCCGCATTTCCTCCAGAACGCAACTCTAGATCAGTCTCACTGCTGAAGTGCACATTGCTAAGGATAAGAGCCAGGCCTCGCGGGCGTGATTTCAACTTGTATGCCTATTGAACACAAGATAATATATACCAGTTTCTTGGCCTATACACTGAAAGTAAAATCACAAGTTGCTTTGAAAACATACCACACTGCCTACCAGAGGTCAAAGAGAGGTCAAAATGCAAAATTTAAACACTCTTGGACAGTATTAGTTAATGTTTCCGGATTGCAGAAAACTATTTTTTTAAAAAAATATATGAATACCGTAATTTTTAATACATGAAAACAAATGAATAGTCAATGTTTTATTAACTTAAGGGGAAATACAAGTTTGGATATGATTGTGTACTCATTTAGGTCTGGAGTGAGATTTGTTAAAGAGGATCAGTATAACATTCTATTTATTTTTATATTTGATCTTGGTTAAAGTAATTGCTGAAAATTTGCTTTTGCAAAGTTTTGTTGAAGGAAAACGTAGGAGAACCCCCAATGCTCTTATTCAAAAGCCCATTATCTGCGAACAGCCTTCCAAGTCTTCTTGTGATTGTTTTTTCAGCTTGCAGAACTTTTTGAGTTGTTTGGGAACAATGGTAGTTTGTGGAACTGAGTTTGAGAAACATTCTTCTTGATTCATCAAACACAGAATAACAGAGTTGGAAGGGACCTTGGAGTTCTTCTAGTCCAAACCCCAGCTCGAGAAGAAGACCCTATCAACCCAGACTGATTAACCTTCCTCCCCCTCCATTTTTACTTTGAATTTTCAAAGTTATGGGGCTACTCAAAATTTTATAATCATATATGAAAAAAACGAAACTGCTACATCTTGTGTGAGGGCAGTTTTTCCACATAGACTATTTATTTAACTGCTTTCCTGCAAATAAAGCACCCCAGGCATATTTATGAAAAAACAACAAAAGAAATTCTCAATGTCCAGCTTACTTACCAAGTGCACATGAGTGCGATAAAATTCTGGAGTGCATGGTTTCACCTGAGGATAGTGAGGGCCATCTCCGTCATCTAATGAATGCTCCATGGGCTCTGCTGCAAATCAATCACCAATATGTAAAGGGATCAGCAGCAAAGCAGGCCATTGTGTAACAGCATGCTTTTAGATTTACAGTAAGATGAGGATACTTAAGAAAAAACACTACACAGTATATGTGTTTCTTAATTTAAACATTTACCTCTATCGAATGTAGTAAATAGTATTCTACAGGTAGTCCTCAACTTTCAACCGACCATTCAAAGTTAAAACAGCTTTGAAAAAGTGACTAATGACCACTTTTCACACTTACAACTGTTGCTGCATCTCCACAGCCATGTCAAAAAAAATTCAGACACTTGGCAACTAGCATGTATTTCTGACTGTTGCATTGTCCTGGGGTCATGTGATCAACAGGTGTAACCTTCACAGCCAGTTTCTGACCAGCAAAATCAATGGGGTAAGCCACATTTGTTTAATGGCCGAATGATTCATTTAACAACTATGGCAAGACTGTAAAATGGAGCAAAAACTCACTTAACAACTGACTTGCTTAGCAATGGAAATCTGGGGCTCAATTGTGGTCACAAATCAAGGATTACCTGAACTGTAATGCAATGTTCTTTTTTCTTATTGAAACACTGAAATCCAAGTGATTCAAATTTAACCATCTGACATCCTATCAGAGTTCCATCAAAAACTAAATCTCAACTCAACTTTTCCTTTAAGTAACAATAGCTGTTTAAACTAGCTGAGCTATTATGAGTATCAAGAGAGTAAGGTTACCATGGATGAAGTATAAATTAAAAATGTGAAACATCAACAAAATTTGTGCAGAGTATGTAATATTTTAAAATAGTATGCATTATAATATCAGGAAGGGAGAGGTCTTCTCACTGAGAGACATTAGTAAAGTCGCTGCACAACCATTAGGACAAATTGGTATTTCACCATCACTATCTTTCTCCTCCTTGAGGATGAAATGCAAGCAAATTAGACAGAGGTATCTGGCAACAAGGATCAGGATTTGGGGGAAAAGGAGATCTGTAGTTGGATTCAGCATAAGGACCCAATGTTTTCTTCCTTGATTTAAGATGTTCTACAGCATTAAACAATTCTAACTCAGGTATTCTGAACACATATATAACTTTTAACATTCTTTAAATAGCTCCATATTCTTCCATTTTCTGAAGTATATAAATCTGTGTTTATAACACATTAACAATGAAAAATGACTAACAGCAGCCAATTAACTTTTGTGAATATGTCTAGGCTACAGTCATAGCCATGGGATATGAATAGTAGACTCATCCAATGAATAATCTATATAATTATTAGCTAATAAAACAGTTTGCAATTTAAAATCTCAGTGGGATGCAGCTAAATCCCAAGCATTAAATCTGGATTGTTTTTCATTGTTTTTCCATTATTCCTTCAAAAGCTATAATTTTATATAGGGATATTGATTTGTGTACATCCTTCAGTCAAGACCCTAGTCTGGAAGTTCCAAAAATAACTCAACCAGGACCTGTATTAAAATAAAAGGTGTGGGCACCACAAATAATGTGATGTCAACCTCGAAAGTATTTTCTCTTTTTTTAATAATTTACAAAATAATTCATATTGTATAATTTATAAAAAATAAACCATTTTTGAAAGAAACAGGCTGGAAATGGAATTTTAAAAACTATTCAGATGAAACTAATACCACAAGAAGAAAGTACAAGAATGCCTTTCCTCTCTAAGAAATTGCAGACAAACTTTTTATTCAGAAAATGGCATTAGGCTAGATCAGGGGTCCTCAATCTTGGCAACTTTAAGACCTGTGGACTTCAACTCCCAGAATTCCTCAATTAGCCATGATGGCTGAGGAATTCTGGGAGTTGAAGTCCACAAGTTTTAAAAGTGCCAAGTTTGAAGACCCCTGAGCTAGATGATGCTTCAGGGATTAAGCCTGAATAATACATGATTACCAGGTCCCTATCCTTGATTTCAAAACATATGTATTGCATTTCTCTCGCTTAGGATATCTTTAAGATGTTAAATTATGGGAGGGGGGGTTCCTGCTGTCAAAGAGCCAGTCCACAGCAATGCTTCTTTGATTTTACAAGCTACCCCAATAGTCTCTGAGCATACTCCTACACAGAACTGTAGCATAGGTTACAAAGCCATATATGTGATTTCAAAAATACCTGTCTTATAAAGTTAAGAGAAAATAATTTATGTAACCAAATAGTAAAAGTAAGTAAGAGTATTAAAAAAAAAGCCTAACGTTCATTGGTGTGTGAGTTTATATCTGCTATCTGCTAGTGCTATTACATAAACTTTACAGTATGGGGAATATAGTATAAAGCAAAAACTGTGTAAGATCCTCCCACATCTCACCACTCAGACAGAGATCTAAGCACACAGACAAAGGTGCAGATCTGTTCAAGGGAATAGACTAAGATGCGGAACTATTTTTCTTGGCTTGGAATGAAAATAATAATAAAACCTCCCTGGATAACTCTACGTCCTATTGCCACTGGGCTTTTAAAGACATACTTCATGCTCAATGTTGACATTAAAAATACTTATGTTTTGCAACATCCTGTGCTATATTTTCTATTGGCTAAAATTAAAACACATCCCCAAGTACTTGCTGTTTAAGACCACAGCAAAACATCCACCAAAGAGAACAGAAATCCCATCCCACTAATCAGTTTTTTTTCCAATTCATTTGGATTACAAAATACTAAATATTTTTTTCCTAATATACTAATTTTAAAAACATTTGTCATAAATTTACCATTATGCGGATATAGTCTTTTCTGGGAGACACAGGATTCAGGCACTGGAAATGGGAAATTTTGATCATAGCAATGAGGTCGCTGAAAAAGACCAGAAAGTACTTTGAAATTATCACAAACATACTGTGTTCATCAAATAAAACCTCAGATGAGAGATGGGGGCAAAAGAGGAAGTAATTTCCACAATCTATGATAGTGCAAATATGTGTGCATATGCACACGGATATAAATTATTCCTAAAGCCAGTCAGTTCGCAAGATATACTGAGTCTTATCACGGCTGAACAGTCAAGTAGTACGCTAGGACATACTTAATTGTATCAGAAGATCCTGTCACAATGAGCAATGATCAGAAACTATTGACAGTTCTGCCCACAGAACTTACCACGCAGTACAGATTCCTACTGAATCAAATTTGAATCAATGTTTTCCTATTGAATCAAATTTGACTGCTATACTTCATCATATTCAACCAGGTGCATGCACAAATGTATTTATATATTGCCTTCTATAATTCTGTGATCACTCGGATCAGATTTACCTTTATATAAAGATATATACTGTTTTATAGTCTTAATCTGGATCTTTAAAAAAAAAATTAAAGAAGTTCCTCAAAGAACATTTCTAACAAGTACATGTAGAAAATACATATTTCACATATATGAAGAAAAAAATGTTATTTTTTGTATTGTTGTTTTTCAAGAGTTTAAAGTAAACAACTGCAAACCACCCACAGTCACTGGGAATCAGGCAGCATATCAATGTAATACATTATTATTATTACATCTGTTCACAACATGAAGTCACAACTGCCAATTCTTTACTTGGTGTTGGTTTTGACTATTTAGTTTGAATAGTTTGCTCTTGCACAGCCAAAATCAAGCTTTAACTTTCTTTTTTTAATGTCCCAGTTGTAAGCCATTCACAGGTTTTATTATTACCCACTTTCCCCTCAATCTCTTGTAGAAATTGGCCATGTAATGCTTTTCTTTGTCAGTATTCTCTTCATGGTTTTATTATATTATTTCCATATTCACCTTTGTTTCCCATACATTTAGTAAGTTCCAATTTTTAACTTACATCAATGCTTGTTCTTGGCTGTCTTTTACATGATCAGCCAATGCACTTTTCTTCTTCAACAGTTTACTTCACCTGAAGTAAACCTCCATTTCTGCAGAACAGGTATATTTTCTATCTATCTATCTATCTATCTATCTATCTATCTATCTATCTATCTATCTATCTATCTATCTATCTATCTATCTATCTATCTATCTATCTATCTATCTATCTAATTTATATGCCACCCATCTCACTGTTGAAACAATTCTATCAATATTATGGAGATGTAATGCATAGAGAATAGTCATTAGTTTTCTTGTTTTTTCAATCCAAACTGTCCAGTTCAGCTTGTGTCCAATTATTATCTGTTCACAACAATTTGAAGTCACAGCTGCTGTTCTTTAGCTGGTGTTATTATTACTTACTAAATTAATATTATTAATCAGTATTTACTAATTAAGTAACTACTACTACTACTGTTGCCCTCTCTCCTGTTCTAGCAGAATGAAAAGTGAGAAGGCAAGGTTCATGTTCATTCTCTTCAAAAATCTCAAATGGAATTTTCTAAATTCTAGACAAGTCATTCTGGATTTGGAAAAATACATTACAAGCCCTTTACTGAACTTGCTGGTACCTTCCACATAACTTTAGCTTTGTTCGTTGTCAGATCTGTCCTGATAAGGCTGAGTAGCTATGATATAGATTTATTGCAGAAGAATTCAAAAGTAACCCTACTTTGTGTTATTTTCACTATCTAAAGTAAAGAGTAAAATGAAATTTCTTAAATCTACTAATTATAAATTCATATTAAGTCAATATACAAATAAAGAGGGCTGAAATACGATTCTATCACTTTTAATCTTACAATCACCATGAGCTTCAAAACAATTTCTGGTAAATACTTCTCAAAATATAAGAAAAATAGCTTCAGAGCAAGAGGTGTGTGCAAACCACTGTACAGTCCTAATGGAATATATCAGTTCTAAAATTTGCTTGCTTGAAGATGCAATGAGATCCAAAACTCCCAATGCTTGTAAAACTATTTATAATGAAAACTAAGCCAAACGTCTTCTCTACGAAACATTAGCTTTCTAAGTTTAGGAAGCTGAATACACAGGATCAAGGGGGACTGAAAATATCATACTGGTATTGCATAAAAGAGCAATGTGGAATCACTAACACTAAACATGCTCCTTAATTTTATATTTTATCTTTCCTTACCTTTACAGCCTCAGTCCTATGGCAGGGGATAGTGCTGAAGAGCATTTCTTCCAAGTGCTGTTGTTTAGTTTCTCGTAAAGCTTCACAAAAGGCTGAAAAGGCTTTGGGGCCCCTTTTCGGAAGCAAATTCAAGAATTCTATGTTTTGGCTAAAATTTCCAGACTTCGCCTGTATTCATGCAAAAATATATACCATTGAAAAAATATTAAACAGCAGCAATAACAACAAAAAGCTATCCAGACCCAGAGCATATTATCACTACCTTTGCTATGAGAACTTTGCTTGCAATGATGAAATTTTGCCAAAGTTAACATTGTTATTATGGCTGGCCAGTCAGCCAGTTGTTTAAACTGGATTTGGCATTTTTATCCACCTATCAAATCCTTCCCAAGAACTTAGGATAGGCAGATGTTGCTGTTTGATGGTATTAAATGTAT